CGTAGAATCATTCACAAGTCAGCAGATATATCTCATCTTTGTGATATTTATTCTCCTAATTAACTATTCACTTAATTGAACAACAAATGTATCTCCCGGAGAATTACTCACAAGTCAATAGATATATGTCATCGTTGTGCAGTTTATTCTCCTAATTAACTATTGACTCTTATTGAGAACAAATATATCTACAGTAGAATCATTCACAAGTCAGTAGATATATGAATAAAAGAACTAAAAAAATATCTTTTTTGAGAAATTTTTTGATGATTTTTCTGTATTCAGGGGTGTTTGTATCAACAGATTTATTATGTGTTCTGAAAGAGCGACCGACGGGCTATCCAACAAATATAAAATCATTTCTTCTATACTAGGTACACGCGATTTCCAATATAATACATAATGGGTAGCATGGTCGTGTTTTGTATATCAGCTTTCAATCGGTTAATAAGTTGTATTAAAAAAACAAAATACATCACACGATTCAGCGTGAAAGGCTAAACAATTTATACAAGACAGCTTTTTAGCGTTGCACGTTTTGTTTCCACTAATTTTCTGAGTCGTCAAAAATTCGCAGAACTTTATAAGCGATGAACGAAATTCGGAAAAATGGAGTTTGATCGAGAAAATCTGTTTTATGGAAGGATGGTAATAGAGAGCGAGCTATTTTGAATTTTCGTCGTCAGCCGATCTAGCAATGCCATTAGAAAGTTGAACGCACCCTCAGTCGTGTGCAAAACTCTTTTTTCTATCCGAACTATGTCAAATGAGCCGTTCAAAACCGAGTTTTGCATAGTTTTAGGCCAAATAATCAAAAACCAATTGAATAACGAGTAACGCATGCATTCTTGCGTTACTGATAACGAGTAACGCATGCGTTATTGCGTTACTGATAACGAGTAATGCATGCATTCTTGCGTTACTGATAACGAGTAATGCAGCGTTATTTGCGTTACTTTAACACTTTTTTGGGTTACTTTTCTAGTAACGCAGTAACGCTTGCGTTAGTCGTTGCCAGTAACGCAATAACGCATGCGTTAGTCGTTGCCAGTAACGCAATAACGCATGCGTTACTCGTTACCAGTAACGCATAATATAGTAACGCTTTAGTCGCATTGTGTCCGCAAGGTGATAAAACAATACATTTTCGGTTGTTCGTCACTCATACGGTGATATTTGAAAGCGTTGCTTTACTCAGTAAAGTAACGCATCAGTAAAGAAAATGTGCCACCCCTAGCTATAACTATGTAAACCCAACGCGCACTTCCTCATTGACTTGACTCGATTTATTCCCCGAGAAAAGGAAGTGTCACTCAGCTGGCTCGATCATTCACCTATTCTTTCAGAAACTACCGCCAAATCGTTATCGTCCATTCGATTTCCCTGCATTATTGAGGACTAGAGTTCAAATAGTTCAGACACAACTAGGCGACCGGTTAAACCATTACGGAATTAGTCGAGACAAGCAATGAGCAATGCACAAACTTCTAACTCGTACATAAAGTCACCTTCAGGACAGTAAGAGAACCAGGAATCAAGATTTCGTGGCACCCGCACCATACCATATGTCCATTGAGGTAGTAAGTGTCAGAATGAAAGAGCACCCGCATTAAGAGAGAACGCCTTCTGGAGTTGTGTCTTGGACAGCAGCAGAGACAGATACAGCAGGTATAGTGAGGCGGAATCAAAGAATGAAGGAATTCGAAGGAGGCCGAAGGCCCGACCAAAGGGCGAAGTGCAGCTAAGGCAACCGAGGAAGAGAGACAGAGGTGAACCGACAAATCACCCATCAATCAGAGTAAATAATTAGGACTGAGCGCTCAATCAGGTCAACTGACAAAGAAAGAATGATTATTCTGTTCAACTCTTCAGTTCTGAGGAGGAGATTACCATTTTGTAGAGGAATTCTTCAATTTTGAACGACGAATCAACAACAACCAAAGTCAACCTTCGCACAAAGAAACAGAGAGATTTGAAAGGCAGCTGACGACAAATCAAAGAAATTCGACAAGAACAGAACACTTGTACAACAAGGGATCAACATTTTATGGCACCAGCGCCATACCCTTTCACTCATCAGGATTTAGTTTTTTTGTGTCTCCAATTCGTGTTTCACTGTCATCTCTGAGCGTTTTTCTTATTATCTGGATAGAAAATTTCGGTTGAGTTGACACTTTTTTTGATCAGGGCAAAATACTTCTTTTTTCTCAAGTGTACCTTCGTTGACCTTTCTTGAACCAGGCATATTTTTTGTGATTTTGTTTTCTGGCAGATTCAGAATCACCTGAAAAAATACGGCAACTTGTTTTGAGACCATCGGATGGTTACTTTTTGCGATATGATTGAAATACGCGTCGGAATACTGAAGTCCAAGCCATGTGCTTTTGCTTTTTTTTGTTGGATTTTCTCTCAATTTTGAGTGGCGATGGTGCGACTGTCATCGTTGGGTGGTGTTCGTGATATAGGCATCGGGTAGTTTCAATGATTCGAGGAAAATTCAAAGAAGTTGCCGTAGGTACATTTGGGGTCAATTGAAGATTTGGCAGTTTGGTTAGAAAATGAGCGTGAATGAAGTTGTGTCACTATCGATTGCTGACTTCTTCAAGCTGTTTGGAGAGATTTCAATGTGTGCCGCAACAGTGTGTGAATAGGTCTGATGAGCTTTCGGAACAAGGACGAAATGATCTTCGTGTGATGCTTCAACCTGAAAGGCTCTTTCTTCTTGTCGATCAAATGATCCACCGCTTTCAACAGCACCATCCATAATGACCATAATTAGCCATTAATGACCATCCTCCTGCACATTCTCTTTGATGAATGATCGTCTTTGTTCATTTGATACGTTCTCCATCTTCTCTTAGATGCATTTCTGTTCTCCATCATGCAAAACAATCATCCTAGACCAGTCTCACTTTACGACTAGTCTCGCTCTCATAACAACTGTTTATCAGTTCTTTCCTTCTGTCTACACTGGCCTACTTAGCTTTGCTATCTGATGCTCAGCACTCAGGTTCTGATGTATTTAATCAATGACTTCTTTACCTCGAATAAACTCTATCTTGACCCATGGATGCCTACTTCTTGGATACTCTGCTGGGTCATCGCTCAAACATCACAATGGTAGTTATAGGCTTAATGATCATGGACAAGGAAGGATACCAGAAAGACATGACACACTCTTCTTTCTTCCAACTCCATCGGGACAAGAAACTTGCTTGTCTACCTGATGATTCTCATTCTCCAACGTCGATGCTTCGGACTACACCTATCTGGTATGCAGTAGAGGAACTCTCTCATGACTCGACTACATCCTCTGGTCTATCTCCAATGCGGATGCCACACAATCTTGATCACTACCACAATACACTGTATACTAGATGCGGGTGTGACGTATCCTTTGAAATAGAGAGTATCACTTACCATAGATTCTTGGTATTACTGAACTGAGATTGACTAGGTACCATAACCTGCGATGCTATGAATGGTAAGAATCACTACAGGTTTCATCACTTTTTCCATTCAGTAGACAATTGTGAGCTGAGTGATAAGAAAGGTTCTGAAGGAACAACTTGAGAAGTCCCTTAAACAAGGTCGAAATCGATCGTGGTATGCTTAACTAAATTGCACCACACGTTTCATTATTCTACACTCTGTTCAAAAAGCTTTCATACAGCAGTGTAGATGATAGTTTAATTTGATTCTTTGACTAGGATCAGACTAAATTATCGTAAGTCACTTAAGAAGACCCTTGAGCAAAGTCAAAACCGGTCTTGGTATGCTTAACCAATTAAGATGACCTACGGTATATTCTACCTTCTGGCATACGTTGACTATTGGATGTCTCCGGGCCTCTACTTTTGATTGTTGTGAGAAGAAAATTACAATGCATGTAGGAATTTACCTGATGAGTCCCTTCTGCAAGGACGAAACGCGTCATAAGTAGCTCGAACATTCAACCAAAACATCTTAAACTCACCCTCACACCCTCAAGATCATTGTCGTCCTGGAACATTTATTCTCCTAGATGAAGATTCGAATATATGGCATATATTCTATGCTAGAGAGAAAATTGAATAGTTTAACAGTAGAATATCCGACCGGTTATCGGAAGACGTAGGCTCGATTCCTGCTCTAATTTTGTGATCTTTCTTAGCAAGTCTTTCGCACTTGTTGAGACATATTCATGTGGTTGCGTTCATCAAAGAACATATTTGTCCGTAGATCGATGACATCGTTTCTTATTTTTGAATTCTTTCATTCGAAAATTCTAACTCACTCTCACACCCACCCACACCCTACACGTGTCTCAAGCGGTCAATAAAATGGTACCAAATTTCGTATGCTTTGGTATGAAAATAAACAGTCACATAGATAGAAACACTACTAAAGTTAGTAAGAATTGAAAGAAAACTAAAATTATACTAGAGCAAAATGGACACTGACGAAGAAACCGACGATCTTTCTTTTACAACGACCGAAACAAAGAAAAGCTTGCTTATTTTAAGGAAACAGACGAAAAGTTGAGAATCGTCTAATTGAAATGACTTTGTGCGAGATGGTTTTGCTCTTTTAACCACTTGTTTTAGTATCAACGGTGATGCCAATATAAAGTTGGACTAGTTTATCGAAAGCAGGTAAAAGAACAGCACCAGTGACAGCTCTGAGAACAATGACCTGAAATCCTTTAAATAAGCCTGTTGGTCCTTCGTTTCGTATGATTTGGAACATGCAATCCATTGCACCTTTATATTTAACTGCTTCACCTGATGTCATCATCATACGTCGTCGAATAGTATTAATTGGATAAGAAATAAGACCTGATGTAAATGTGACACTATAACCAAGTATAGCTAAATGCGTTAAATCGGGATCACGTCTAACTACCATTGGTCTCAATGTGTCATAAAGTCCGAAGTAACAACCACGATAGACAAAGATACCAACACATGAAATAACAAAACCACGGTAAAGACCGACAATACCATCGGAAGCAAAAGTTTTTCTGTAGACATCAACAAGACCATTGTATTTACGTCCATCACCTCCGTTCTTTATACTTTTAACATCATTAGCTAAACGTGTGCGGGCATAATCAAGTGAATACACAAAACTTAATGATAAAGTACCAGCTACACCACCACTTGCTACATTTTTGGCAAAATTAACCATATATGGATCGTCTTTATTTTGTTTAAACATTGTTTTGATGTGATCTTTGAAGGCAAAATTCATAGCCTAGAAGAAATAGTCATCAGTTTATTTTGTTTTTGTTGATTAATTATAAATCAGAGCAAACCTGGGTGGGAAAGTATCGAATACAAGTGGCTAAATTACCTCGCCAAAATGAAATAAGACCTTCACTTCTGAAGGTTTGTCTGATACAATCAATCATGCCAGTGTAGGGTCGGCTGATTGTACCTTGTTTAAGCATTTCACCTTGGCATTGAAGAAGTAATTGTACACGTTCAATAGGTGCAGCTGCTGTGTTTGCAACAACAGCAGCAACAGCACTGAGAGCAAAGCTTTCAATAGGACTTAATTTAGCTGGAGCTTTTTCTTTCTAAAGAAATATTTCACATAAGTAGATTTTAAAAACCTGTAAAAACATGATTTACTTACTACTACTGCCATTACGCTTTACTATGATGTCGATCTAAAAAAGACTATCTGAATCTGAGACTTTTTTATGTTTATATCACGTTTGGAATGTTATGATGAAAAATACTTTTCTTTTTTGTTTTTACCATATGTGCTCTTTTCGCGTTCTTCTAGGCCGTTTCGCGTTTGTACAACACAGGTGGGTATCGAATCCGACGAAACCACACATACATATACATACAAGTCTATATATGAAAGGGAAAATATGATTGAAACATTCTCGCTATCAATTAGAATACCGAGACGAAAGATGTCATAAGCTGGTAGTTCTGTTAAAAATAGCATCTCTTTCTAGGATAGTGAGAAGAATATACATCAAATATCTAATAATTTTTAAAGTAATAGTATAAAAGTATCTTGACGAGAAAGAATATGTATTCATTATGCATAACACTTTTCTATTAACTATTGATACTGTATTTATGAGTTTAATTAACTAACTTAAATTGGAAGTCAAACCATTTTCAAATGCATCATCAAATTTATAATCGTATGTTACTAGAATTAATTAGATAAATACTGATACTGCTTTTAAGCAGTAGCAATCTAAACAATTATCAAGACAAATTCCTCTGGATACTGCTTTTGATCTTATTCAAAATTGTTGTATTGAAATTGAAGGAAGAAGTATTTTATATAAATCAAATTTTTTACAAAGTTTTGTTAATTATTTTGAACGTTTTACAAAAGAGCCAGATAAATATGATAAACGATGGTTGGATATTTTAATTAATGTTTCTTTCTTTGCTGATGGACAAACGGCTCTCTTGAAACATGCAAGTAAGATATCATTTGAATTAAGTGCGAATCACCCATATACTAACTTATTTTTTGTTTCTCAGATATATTCAGTATTTTAATACGATTGGCACAATCATCTCCAATTTCTAATCAACGACAAACATTATTAATTTTACGTAATTTAGCATTTTCACCGAATCGTAAAGCTAGACTATTGGGGGAATGTAAGTAAATATTGAAATTGTTTTTTGTCTAACATTTGATGATAGTTTTTCTTTTATTTAAAGCAAAATATATTCCAACATTAATGGCACATTTCTTTTCAAAAATGTTAGATATGTCGTATACAGCCTTAACAGCTGTATGGGCACTTATTGTTTATTTTCAAAAGGTATTTGAATATCTATATAATTAGTCAATGTTTTGAGCTTTTCTTTTGTTTTTTTTGTTGTTGAATAGGCTAAAGTAGCAATAAGAACTACAAATATTCTACCAATGTTATTTGAATTGAAAACAAACGTAAGAAATCATGATAATCTACTATGTTATCATGCCGTCTCAAACGTTATCCGATTATTAACAGAAGATTAGATTTTATCTCAACTTTTATATCTATTTGAGTACACAATCTTTTAAAAAAAGTTTTTTTGTTTTGTTTTATGTTTTGTGAATTTTTTATACTACGGTAGAATAACTACAATTTCTTTGTATTATTAATAGATGATATATTTTGTAAATGAACAATGGTCCTCCCAATTGATTTTATACACAATAATTGTTAGATTATAGACAACTGTTTACGCCCGTCAAATGATGATTAAATGATCTAAATATCGTTTGTAAATCCACAGTCATATCACCGATAGGTGAGATTTTTAAATAGAACTAGAGTCAATGAAAACTACATTTTTGGATAGAGGATAGTCGATTGCATATGTATCCACCAACATTGGCTCGGGGTACTGCCCGTCGGGAAGCAAAATTTTTTTTGGAAGGTTTCCAAGGGAAAGAAAAAAAAGGAAGCAAAAAATATAGCGACTCGAGCAGGAATTGAACCCACGCCGTAAGAATTCTCTTTCTCTCTGCTCTATGTCCACTGAGCTATCGAGTTATACTTTTCTTATCGTCCTTTTTCTCACTATATTTGACATGATGAGGAAGAAATGAATTTTCATTATTGACTTTCCGAAGAATCTTTCAGAAGCATATGCAAAAAATTACCTAAACTAGAAAGAATTTTGAATCTACTCGAATTTAAAAGAAGTTAAT